GTTCTTCAGAACCAGTGGAACTCAGCATACCATAAGCTAGGAGTGTGCTGAGAAATAAGTGGAGAGGTAAGCAAGGTCCAGATCATGAAGGGTTTTATAGGGCAAATTAAATTTAGATTTTACCTTAGAATAATAAAAGTAAACAAGAGAATATTTGAAAATTAGCATTTCATTCTTTTTTTCCCCTATTTATTTATTTATTTTTGGCTGTGTTGGGTCTTCATTGCAGTGCGTGGGCTTCTCATTGCGGTGGCTTCTCTTATTGCGGAGCACGGGCTCTAGGCGCACGGGCTTCAGTAGTTGTGGCTCGCGGGCTCTAGAGCGCAGGCTCAGTAGTTGCAGCGCACGGGCTCAGTTGCTCCGCGGCATGTGGGATCTTCCCGGACCAGGGCTCGAACCCGTGTCCCCTGCATTGGCAGGTGGATTCTCAATCTCTGCGCCACCAGGGAAGCCCCTGAAGATTAGCATTTTAGAAAGAATCTCCAGATGAAAAGTGGGAAATGTATCGAAGGACATCAAGATTAGAAGCAGGGATATAGTTGAGAGCTGCTGAAATAATTTAATAAGCTTAAACTAGTGTGTTGGCAATGCTGAAATAGAGAAGTGGATAGATTTGAGGTACACTTAGCAGGCAGAACCTATAGGACTTCAGTGGTGTGAAAATGAGAGAAGAATAAAGGATGAGTCCTGGAGCACTGGGTGGATGCTGATGCCAATTACGGGGGGGGGGGGCGGGCGGGGGCGGTGGCTGTTGAGAGATGGTAAGTTCAGTGTTAGACACTGTGCATTTGAAGTGTCTGAGGGGTGTCCAAGAAATATATGTTGCTGCAGCTACTGGCTGAGAGACAGGCTGGAGATAAAGAGGTCTTCTATTTTGTCTGTGAAATAAGGGAAAATGTGAGAATAAGAAAGACCGTAAGACTTGCCAGTCAAAATTAAAGACGGATACCATGATTTATGATAATATCCAGGCTGAGTAATTTTTTTTTCTAGCTTTGCCCAGACCCAGAGTGTAGCTGTATAGAAGGCAGGCGTTTTGCCAGGTGGCTACCATAGCTGAAAAACAGGGAATGGGAATGAAGGTGAGGATAATTGCATGAGAGTGGACAAAATGAACTAAAATGGGAGAAGGCAGATCAGTCAAGGGACTCAGGATTTCCATAAAGTCAAATAAGAGATTTAGAGTGAAATGAATTGGAGAGTATAATTAGAACTGAAAATTTCAGACTTGATGAAAAGTTCAGGGTGAGCCCAGGAGGCCGAGGGGACTAAAGTGGAAGGGATATGCCAACAAATATTACGTAAAGGAAAAGCATTTTGTATCTATCTTTAGTATAATTTATACTAAATTAAAAAGCAAACTCCTAAATAAGACAAGGATGCCCACTTTTACTACTTTTATTCAACACAGTACTAGAAGGTCTAGTCAGAGCAGTTAGGCAAGAAAATGAAATAAAAGGCATCCAAGTTGGAAAGGAAGAAGTAAAATTATCTCTGTTCATAGAGAACATATCTTATATGTAGAAAACCCTTAAGATTCCACAAAAAGCTGTTAGAACTAATAAGCAAATTCAGCCAAGTTGCAGGATAAAAAAATCAACACACAAAAATCACTTGCATTTCTAAACACTAACAATGAATAATCAAAAAAAGAAATTTAGAAAATAGCTTCATTTACAATAGTGTCAAAAAAGAATAAAATACTCAGGAATAAACTAAACCAAGGAGGCAAACGTACTGTATACTGAAAATTATAAAACAATGCTGAAAGAAATTAGAGACACAAAAAAAGGCCATTCCATGGATTGGAAGACTTACCATTGTTAAGATGACAATACAGGTATCTCGTGCTTTTCAAAAGTCTGCTTTATGCCACTTCACTTTTACTAAAGACCTACATTAGTACCTGTTTTTGCTAACCGAAAGAAATCTGAAGACGATTTTTGCTTTTACAAAAAAAGGTGAAAACCAGTGCTCGCCCTTTGTTTTGCAGCTGGCTACTGTAGAGGCAGCGCGTACCCTGAGCACTAAGAGCAGCACCATCTAGCCCCTTCTTCAGGAACTACACTGTGCATCTCAGCACGAAGCCACCATAACTTTTAACTGTGTGAGCGTCTGTGCATTATCTCAGTTTACTTTGTGCGTTCGTTAGCAAGATGTGTCCTAAGGTAATTGCTTCTTTGCTTTACATCATTTTGGCTTACAAAAGGTTTCGTAGGAATGATTTACTTTCAGAGAGCAAGGGAAACCTGTACTCCCCAAATCGATCTATAGATTCAATGCAACCTCCATCAAAACCCCAATGACTTTTTCGTAGAATTAGAAAAATCCATCCTAAAATTCATATGGAAACTTAAGGGACCCAGAATAGCCAAAACCATCTTGAAAAAGAAAAACAAGTTGGAAGTCTCACACTTCCTGATTTCAAAAATTACTACAAAGCTACAGTAATCAAACCAGGGTAGTAGTGGCATAATGACAGACATATAGACCAATGGAATAGAATAGAGATCCCACACTCTTGCATATATGGTCAAGTGATTTTTGACAAGGGGTGTCAGGACCATTCAGTGAAGAAAAGACAGCCTTTCAATAAATGGCGCTGGGAAAACTGAATATCCACATGCAAAAAAATGAAGCTGGACCCTTACGTTACCTTTTACTTGGGTCAAAAAACAAAGCTAAAATTATAAAGCTCTTAAAGAAAACCTGGGAAAAAGCTTCATGGCGTGGCATTTTGCAATGATTTCTTGGATATGACACCAAAAACACAGGCAACAAAAGGAAAAATACATAAGTTGAACTTCATCAAAATTTTAAACTATTGTGCATCAAAGGACCCTATTATCAGCAGAGTGAAAGAAAACCCAAAGAATGGGAGAAAATATTTGTAAACCATGCATCTGATAAGGGGGTGATATCCAGACTATATAAAGACTTCTTACAGCTTAACAACAAAAAACCCCCAAACAACCCAATTAAAGAATGGGCAAAGGACATGAATAGACATTTCTCCAAAGAAGATATACAAATGGCCAAAACTGATTGTTCAACATTAATAATGTTCAACATCATTAATCATTATGGAAGTGAAATTAAAACCACAATGAGATACCACTTCATACCCACCAGGATGGCTAATATCAGAAATACAGAAAATAACAAGTGTTGGTAAGGATTTGGAGAAACTGGAACAAGTGTGCATTGTTGATGGGAAGGTAGAATGGTGCAGCCACTGTGGAAATGGTATGGTGATTCTTCAAAACATTAAACGAAGAACTACCATATGATCCAGCAATTCCACTTCTGGGTATATACTCAAAAGAAGTGAAAGCAAAGATTCAAACAGATATTTGTTACCCATATTCATAGAAGTATTAATCACAACAGCCAAAAGATGAAAGTCACCTAAGTGTCTGCAGATGGATATCTGGATAAACAAAATATGGTATACACATACAATGCAACATTATTTAGTTTTAAAAAGGAAAGAAATTCTGACACATGCTACATCAGGGACGAACCTTGAAGACATTATGCTAAGCGAAATAAGCCAGTCACAAAAGGACAAATATTGTATGATTCTACTTGTATGAGGTATCTAGAGTAGTCAAATTCATGAAGAGAGAAAGTAGAATGGTGGCTGCCAGGGGCTGAGGGGGTGGGGTGGGGAATGGGGAGCTAGTTATGAGTACAGAGTTTCAATTGGAGAAGATGAAAAGGTTCTAGAGATGAATGGTGGTGATGGTTAAACACCGTAAAAGTAGTTAATGCCACAGAACTGTACACTTAAAATGGTTAAAGTGGTAAATTTTATGTTATATATATTTTGCCACAGTCAGAAAAAAAGAGAGAAAAAGAAAGAAAGAAAATTTCGGGGTAAATCTTAATGACCTTGGATTTGGCAAAGGTTTCTTAGGTATGATGCCAAAAGCACAACCAACAAAAGGAAATAGATACACTGGACTTCATCAAAATTAAAAACTTTACATGCACCAAAGGGCACTATTAAGAAAGCGAAAAGACAGCCCACGAAAAGGGAGAAGATATCTGCAAATCATACATCTGATAATGGTCTAATGTCCAGAATATATATAAAGAATTTTTAGATCTTAAATATAAAAGACAACTCAGTTTAAAAAGGGGTGAAACACTTAAATAGACATTTTTCCAAAGAAGACATATAAACTGTCAACAAGTACATGAAAAGGTACTCAGCATCATTAGTCATTAGGGAAATGCAAATCAAATCCATACCATGATGAGATATCACTTCATGCCCATTAGAATGGCTAATGAACAGAAAAATAATGCGTATTGGCGAAGAAGTGGAAAAACTGGAACACTCATGAATTGCTGGTGGGAATGTAAAATGGTGTAGCTCCTGTGGAAAAGTTTGGAGGTTCCTCAAAAAGTTAAACATCAAATTATCATATAACTTAAATTCTCCTCCTAGGTACAGAACCAAAAGAACTGAAAACAAGTGTTTAAACAAAAACATGTACACAAATTGTTCACCGCAATTATTCACAACTGCCAAAGGGTGGAAACAACCCAACTGCTCATCAACTGATGAACTGGTAAAATGTGGTCTATCCATACAACAGAATATTATTTAGCCACAAAAAGGAATGAAGTACTGTTACATGTTACAACATGGATAATCCTTGAAAATATGCCAAGTGAAAGAAGCCAGAAACAAAGGCCACATATTTTATGACTCCATTTATATGAAATATCTAGAAGAGGCAAATCCACTGAGAAAGCAGATTAGTTGTTGCTAAGGTCTGGAGTGAGGGGGAAATAGGGAGTGACCACTTAATGGGTACAAAGCGTACTGCTGGGGTGATGAAAATGCTGCAGGACAAGACAGTAGTGATGGTTGCACATTGTTAAATGCCACTCGACTGTACACTTTAAAATTGTTAATATGGTAAATTTTATCTTATGTGGATTTTACCCCAATTTTTTTAAAAAAGCTCCCTTTTTATCACTCTTACCTGACAGTTAATATCAGCTCTATGTTGTAGCAGGACTGTGACTAGTTCCTTATGTCCTCGATCACAAGCCCAATGGAGTAGAGCTCTGCCCTAAAAACACAGAAAAAGATAAATGAATTTGTTAATCCAGTGTGGGACCATATAAAAGATATAAGGTCTGAAGAAAGACAGAGTAATATGCAAAAATGTAGATTAACTATTCTAAGAATGATTGATATAAAATGTTCTATGGGAAAATCAGCAGACTGGAAATCAATAGAAAGTCCTGAGTTCTACTTCTGGAATCTGTTCTGTACTAGCCCAGTGACTTTCTTCAGCCTGAACAGCTTCCTCACCCACAGCGTGGGGGTAACACTAACAACAATAATACCAATAACATTTGTTGAATGAATGAGTTACAAAATAATGCTTTGTAAATTTTAAAGTACTCTATAAAGGTCAGAGATAGTTTTAAATTATGTCCACTTCTGGTGAAAAAAATCCTATGGATAAAAAAAAAAAGTACTTAAACCTAGGTAGAGATCATAATCTAAATGCAGTTTATCTAAATTTACTCAAGTTTATTCCTTAAAATGTAAGAAAATTTAATCACTTTGAAACTAAGCATTTCCCCTTCATATCCCAAATTTACACCCTGAAATATCCCCAAAACATTAGTAAAGTCTGCTAGTGTTTGTCTTCAAATGCTGACTGTGAAAGCCACTTGTAAAACAGAATAGATATTAACTGTCAGGAGACAAAAGTACTAAATATGAAACATTAATTTTAACTGTTGTCTACCAAGGATGAACGGTTACTCTCAATGTGTTAATTCTTTTCTCCACTGTCAGACATCTTGGTTTAGTTAATGAAAGGAGCCTACTCAGTCCAAAGAATAAACAAAACCCCCAAAGCTAAGGGCTTTTCTGAAGAAATGAGTGATGTATGGCTTAACACTACTTTTTTCAGGGTGGTAGTGATGTCATTTTTTAAAGAATGGAATGTTTTTCCAAATTAAGTTGAAATCCCTGCTTTATGTCATTTTAGAAAAGATTTAAGCAGATATAAGCTGGGACAAAGATGACTTTAAAGTAAAAAGCACTTTTCAAGAAAGCTTTTCTAAACTCACACACTTCACCTTACAGACTCTCTTCACATACCTATTAGTTCAACTAATCAAACCAGGAACTATTCGTGAAACAAACAAACAAAAAGTAAGACAACTTCTTCCTTACAAATTGTCCTTTTCTTTTTCTTTCATTTGCTCAATTTATTTTTACTTACCTGTGAATATCTGTTTTGCAATAGGCTTACACAAAATCCAAAGAGGAAGGGAAGCAAAACATTTTAAAACGTGGGCAAACCATTCACAGTTTATTGTAACAGCAAAACTACTTTGCTCAGAGCCCACTAAAAATTTTTTAAATGGAGACAATTCTAAAAGCCAAGTAAAAAATGTATTGTGGAGTAGAGAATAGAGTTGCCTATGTTAAATGTTCTCCAGCTCTAATGTGTACTGATTTAGTGTTACTAGAGCACTAATTTCAAAACCCTCTATACGAATAGATAGATATTCTAATTAGACTCTCAGAACTAATACCAATGTATAAAATATTTTATAGTTCAATGTAATTGTTTCACAGCTTTTACATTAAAATAATCAGATAAAATGTCAAAGTCTGTATCATTCTTAGTTCTAATTTTAACTGTACATTTTATGGCTATTATGTTAAATTATTAACAAGAATTACTACATAGTTAAAATGATGCCTGATAGACTTATACAGGGAACCTACCAGAAGTACCTAATAGTTAAGTAAGAAAACATAATATTAATATATCTAGTATTTTTACTACAAGATATACAGATAATTTCTATTTCTCAACCAGATTCCTGATTTCTCCTTAGGTTTAACCCAATAGGGTTACATAGACTAATGCTAAATTATAAATCCTTAGCTGTTTCGGTGGGAAAGCAGACAAGCAACGCATTTTACTGTTAATGGGGAGTTATATTTTAAATTTCCCATATGTGGTGCCAAAAATTTACTTTAGACGAAACACCTATGACTGGACCTCAGTAGTGATTTTCACTTTGGATATATTTTCTAGAAGGGTGGCACTTGTATAGCAATGTTTTAAGGAGGATGATGTGCTCTCAGACATTTACACTATGCTTTTTAACAGGTTTTCTGACCTGCAATGTAATTAATTTTTGTAACACATTATTTTAATGGTACACTAATTAACCTTGAATTAGAATGAATTCTCTGATAATGACTTTCTGCAGAAGGGCTGAAGATAGCTACATTAAGACCACCTAATGATTAATATTTTTATGCAGCATTAAGAAGTTCAAAAACAAGAGCAGGATTAAACATACTTGTAAATAAGCATAGATAAAGTAAATCAGGCTTTGGAATTTTTGCCTTCAAATATCCTGCATTTAAATGAACAAAGATCAGCACAACCAGGTATCTGAATGTGATAACTCTTTACTTCTTCAAATTGTAGAGTTCCTGTAAACATACTCTAAGATTATTAGTTCAAGTAATAAATAACCAGTAATTTGCAGAGAAGATATCTGCATATCTATCTATCTATCCTCATAACCCCTACTGATAAAATCAGTAAATAACACCTGTGGTTTCTCTCCTTTCTCTTTGTTAGCCATAAACATATATGGACCAATATAATGCAATTATTAAATTTACTAAATTAGTTTAGATACAGGATTCCATAATTTCTCTTCCAGAAGGAAAACCATCAATTAGGTGCACATTAAATTTATATTTGCTTAAAGATTTTATACAAACTTATGAGATACTTTACGTATTTTTAGATATAATTGTTTTATCTTCTATGAATGATATAATCTCTTACAAATTTTCAAGTTAAATTTATTTTTACTGTTACCACAAAAGCTGACAATTGTTTGTCTGCTTCTAGTTTTAATAACTTCTGAAAGAATATCGCAGAACTATTTGGGACATTTGTGGGGAAAGCCATTATTAAAAGGAATCTTTGTTAGGTCAGCAGAAAACCACAAGCACTGTTTGGAGAGCTCTGGATAAATTCTGGACTTCAAATACAGTAAAACATAGCGGGGAAGAAAGAGTTCCCATCTGTTAACCAAGGGTGCAAATACCGTCTTACCTCAGACAGATGAATGACTCTAAAGTGCTTGGAAAGTGCAGGGTGGCAGCTAACCTATTAAGTGGTATTACTTTCATACCTTCTGGAAAATACAGAGTGAGTCTTAATATTTTATATGCTTCTTTGATATCCTTGGTTACTTGTTCTTAAACCATGCAGAATTTTTAAAAATTAGATTTCTCCTGGATATCACAAATTAAATGAAAAGAGATGGTATTATAAAATGACTCGATGTTCTTAGGGTATTTTGAGAACAGATACAAACAAAGCATGTACACCATACATACAGTAGACAAAAACATGGCAAAGTTGGTATGTTTAAATTTGTTAAGAGTTGCCATTTTATCAAAGATGGTATGGTATAGTACTGTCTAATTACTAAGTGAAATACTGCAAATAGGTTGACTTGAATTTCTCTCTCCAAAAAATTGGGTTTCAATTTACAATTGATTGACTTCAGCTACCAATAACCTGTAGTGTCTCTGCCTCCTCTCTCCTATCCCTATCTTCTACCCTTTGCTGCTGCCATTGTAGCAGCTGGCTACAGTGAGAACTCCCCCACCTGCAACCACCAGAAACTACACAAAGCCTCCTACCTCCACCCACCTCTCATTAGTGAACCAACAACGTTCTTTCAAAAACTCAGACAGCAGTAGGACTGGGTGGCAGTTTATGATCGCAAGATGTGGCTAGCATGGAAGCTAATACACATTTAAAATAAGTGAATACTTGATCTCCTTCACTGGTTAAGATCTAAGGTAAAAGGAAATGGTATTCCTGAGCTATCAGGGAATTCAGAAGGATTTTAAATACACTACTTTAGAAACTCCCTTTATAAGCATTTACTAAGCCATAATGTTAGTAACTAAAGGGTTAAGGAGTAAGCAAGGGAGATATTACTTCATCCTGTATAAAATAATAAGTAATCCAGTGATAATAATAAGGCAGCCAGGTGTCCATCAGAAGATAATGGATAAATACACTACGATGAATTCATATTCATACAATGGAATATTAGTCAGCAATATAAAGGAAGAATACTGATCTATATGACAATATCAGTGAACTTCAAAAACACTATGCTAAATGAAAGAAGCCTTACACAAAAAAGTACATATTATGATTCCATCTATATAAAGTTCTAGAACAGGCAAAACCAATCTATGGTAGAAGAATTATCAGAACAGTGGTTACCTTTGTACGATTAGGAGAAAGAACCACCTGGGATGGGGCATGAGGGAATTTTCTGGGGTGACAGTAACATTCTATATCTTGACAGGAGTTTTGGTTACACAGGTATGTGCATTTGTCAAAATTAATTGAATGTGCACTTCAGATTTGTGCATTTCATTGTATATATACACGTTACCTTAAAAGAAGAACCAAACTAATACTGAACTCTAGTTAATGATATGTATGCTGAAGCATTTAGAAGAAAATTTATTGTCTATAAAATACTCTGAAATGCATCAAAAACATAGATCAATTGATGGATGGAGAAACGGCTAGATATTGATAAAGCAAACATAGTAAAATAACTAGTGGTAGAATCTAGTGGTAGGGATATAGATGTTCACTGTAAAATTCTTTCAACTTTCCTGTATGTTTACAAATTTTCATAATAAAGTGTTGGAAAAAAACAAAAATTTGCACACCCACATTCACAGCCACATTATTCACAATAGCCAAAATATGAAAGCAACCCAACTGTCCACAGATGGATATTTAGATAAACAAAATGCAGTATATACATACAAATATCATTCATTTTTAAAAAGGAAGGAAACTTTGACATGTTATAACATGGATGAACCTTGAAGATATTATGCTAACTGAAATAAGCCAGTCTCAAGAGAGCTTGTGTATGATTGTATGATTCCATTTACACGAAGTACCTAGAGTAGTCAGATTCACAGACACAGAAAGTAGAATGGTGGCTGCAAGGGGCTGTGGGA